AACCGGCACTGCCCAAGATGGATAAGCAATTAACATCCTTGACCAAGCGTCGACGAGAAATCCTCCAGATCCATAGGGACGAATTACCAGCCCCGAAACCCTTGGCGCCTAACCCAAATAGATCAACAGAACAATATTGTGAGTATCACAATGATCAAGGCCATGACACGAAGGATTGCCGAGAGCTTAAAAGGGAAATTGGAATGGGGTCAAGTCCGGGAAGTTTCAGCAATATGTGCAAGGAACAGCCCTACGACAGAAGAATAACAGACCCCAGTCACGAGATCCCCCTAAAAGAAACTTTAGAGGCCCGCCGCAGAGGGATGGCCGGGGAAACAATTGGCAACCGAGAGCTAATACCCAACAACAGCCTTATCACATCACTGAAGCAGCACCACAGCCACTCCAGCAACTCCTTCTGGCGGATCCAACGAAGCTAATCACTCACCAGGTAAGAGCTATTTACGGACCACAGCCCTGAAGAACTCATTGCGGACCGTCACTAAAACTCCTCGACAAGAGCCTAGCCACAAAAGGTTCGAGGGAACGGAGGTCATCGTATTCACAGATAGCGATGTTGTCCCGAACATTTCTCCCCACAGTGACGCTATGGTCATAGAAGCAATAATCGCAAACGTAAAAGTTGGAAGGGTTTACGTGGATAATAGCAGCGCGGTCGACATCATATATAGTGACTGCTTCAAGAAAATGAATATCAAGAACCCTTGTATCCGCCCAGCTACAATGCCCATGATGGGATTCTCAGGCCACACTATTATTCCCACAGGAATAATTAGCCTACCCATCTCGATAGGGTCGCATCCTAGGACGGTTACCTTAACCATGGATTTCCCCTAATAGATGTGCCCTCGCCGTTCAACGTGATCCTAGGGCGACCCTGGATGTGCCAAACACGCACAATATGGTCTCCCTATCACTTGGTAATGAAATTCCTAACAGAATATGGAGTGGGAGTAGTGAAAGGATGTCAGCGGAGCTCTCGAGAGTGCTTACTCACAGCGGTTAGAATCGGGAAAAAGACCGCACACCTTAATCCAGGCTCCGCCGTGTCAGAATGCTATTCAATTCGACAAACGGTCAACCCATCAGAGGCGGAAAATCCCGATATCTCCAGCCCTCCCTCGTTCAGCAGCAAGACGCGAGAGCTGATCCTGAGTGAGACTGACCCAACCAAGACAGTTCAAATTGGCGTTTCTCTCGAAGACCCATTGCTAGCCGAGGTTAGTGCCTTGCTACGCAAGTTCCGTGATATATTCGCTTGGTCCCCAGCAGATATGACAGGAGTCCCTCGAGAAGTCATGGAACATAGGCTAAATGTTGACCCAAATATCAAACCAGTGCAACAGAAGAAAAGAGAATTTGCCCTCGAACACAATGATGTCATCAACGAGGAAACAATGAAGCTAATTCGTGCCAACATACTCCGAGAAGTTCTATGGCCTACTTGGTTAGCCAACCCGGTCTTAGTATGAAAATCCGACAACTCTTGGAGTATGTGCCAAGACTACACCGACCTCAACAAACATTGCCCCAAGGACTGCTACCCTCTACCAGTCATAGATCAGATGGTGGAAGGTATTGCCGGGTACAGAGTCCTCAGCTTCCTTGACGCATATAAGGGATATCATCAGATCCTCATGGCACAGGAAGATGCAGAGAAGACAGCTTACATCACTGAGATAGGGGTATATTGCTATGACAAGATGCCTTTTGGACTGAAAAATGCTGGAGCCACGTACCAAGTGTCTCGTAAACAGAACCTTTCATAACCAAATCGGCCGGAACATCGAGATTTACGTGGGCGACATGGTGATAAAGACCAATAAGGATAAGCAAGTGGATGCAGATATGCGGGAGATTTTCACAATACTACGCAAAATTAACATGAAGCTAAATCCTAAAAAATGAACCTTCTGTGTAGGGTCAGGAAAATTCCTAGGATACCAAGTCTCCAAGGATGGAATAAGTATTGATCCAGCTAAATCGAGGCCATCTTAGCCATGGAAGCTCCAAAAACCGTCAAAGAAGTTCAAAAACTCACAGGCTCCCTGGCAGCCCTGAACAGGTTTCTGTCTCGAGCCGCGGAGAGAAGCCTTCCATTTTTCCATACCCTCCGCAAGGGCAGAAAATTTGAGTGGAATGTAGAATGCCAGAAAGCCTTCCAAGACCTGAAAGAGCACCTCAAGCAGTTGCCCACACTAGCCAAGCCGGAGCCAGGGGAAACACTATACATTTACCTGGCGGCTCGAGACAAAGCCATCTCGGCCGTACTTGTGCAGCGCAAAGACGGCAGAGAAGTCCCCGTCTATTTTGTTAGCAAAGTCTTGCAAGGAGCGGAAACCCGTTATACGCCCATGGAAAGGCTTATCCTCAGCCTAGTCTTAGCCGCCCGACGTCTGCGCTCATACTTTCAAGCACACCCCATAATAGTTTTAACGGAACAACCAATTCAGCAAGTCCTACTCAAGCCAGAAGCGTCCGGCATGATGATGAAATGGGCAGTCGAATTGGGCGAGCATCACATTAAATACAAGCCTCGATCAGCCATCAAAGGAGAAGCCTTTGCAGATTTTCTAGTAGAAACACCTTGAGCTATCGAGGTCAAGGAAACGGCGGAGCCTAAAGATGATCCCACTACTTGCGTCAACATCAACCCTTGAGCCTGGTCAGTATACGTCAATGGCTCTCGTTGTGATGAAGGGGGAGGAGCTGGCATCATATTATCAAAACCTCCAGCTGATCCCGACATTGAGAGCATGAGGGAATACGACGTAGAATATACATACGCACTAAGGTTCGGTTTCCCAGTCACCAACAATGTAGCAGAATACGAGGCAGTGATAGTAGGACTGAACATGGCACTAAAGCTTGGGGTCCACAAAATCCAAGTTTTTAGTGATTCTCAGGTAGTGGCGAAACAAATATTGGGAGAATACACAGCAAACGACGAGCAACTCAAGCGCTACCTCGAGAAAGTTCTCGACATCAAGGACAAGTTCGAAGAATGCACCGTGTGCCACATAGTCCGCTCAAAAAATAAAAGAGCCGATGCCCTCAGCAAGCTAGCCTCCTCGAATTTTGCACACCTTAGCCACAAAGTATGGGTCGAGATTCTCCCCAATCCTAGCATCCTGGATGCCCCCGTAACGGCCATCGTCGAGGACGGCAACACTTGGATGACCCCGTTTATCCAATACCTTACAGATGGGACGTTGCCAAGCGGAAAGGCAGAAGCCAGAACCCTCCGATTGAAGGCGGTCAAATACACATTGCGAGACGGCATCCTATACAAGCATGGATACCTGCTAGCCATGCTAAGGTGTATTGGCCCAAAGCAGGCAGCCTACGTACTCGAAGAAGTACATGAGGGATCGTGTGGAGCTCATATGGGAGCAAGAGCACTCGCCAAGAAGGTCTTGCGAGCAGGATATTTCTGGCCGACAGTTTTCAAAGACGCCTACCAGTGGGTACAGAAATGCGAGAAGTGTTAACGTTTCTCTCCCATCACCCTACAGCCACAGCACGAGATGGTTACCATCAAAAGCCTTTGGCCATTCTACCAATGGGGCACTGACATCATCGGCTCCTTTCATCTGGAGGGGGTAGGTGGAGTAAGATGGGTCATTGTAGCAGTAGATTACTTCACCAAGTGGATAGAAGCCAAACTCCTGACCTCGATCACAGGGAGGAAAGTCTAGGATTTTTTTCTGGCAGAACATAGTATACCATTTTGGAATCCCGAAGGTTATCGTCTCCGACAATGGGACCCAGTTCGAGAGCAATACTTTCAAGTCATGGTGCGATGAAATACAGATCGAGCACCGCTCCTCAAGCGTAGCTCATCCCCAAGCTAATGAGTAAGACGAATCCATCAACAGAACAATACTGCATGGGATCAAGACCAGGTTGTATGACGCCAAGGGGGCATGGGCCGACGAGCTTCTCCACGTCCTGTGGTCATACCGTACAACTGCCCACTCCTCGACCGACGAGACACCATATAGCCTAGTCTACGGTATGGATGCCGTCCTCCCAGTCGAAATAGGCTTGTCAAGTCCTCGAACCATAAACTTCGTCGAGAGTACCAATAATGATGACATCTGGCTAAACCTTGACCTGCTCGAGGAACGTCGAGACGCCGTCAGAGTCCGAGAAGCAAAGTATAAAGACAATTTACGCAGACATTACAACAAGAAGGTAAAAGCCACGGATCTCGCTGTGGGCGACCTCGTACTAAGAAAAAACGAGGCCAGTCGAGCAGAAACTCCTGGAAAACTCACTGCAAATTGGGAAGGGCCTTACAAGGTTATCCAGGCTTCCCCAGTAGGCAGCTACCGCCTACAGGCCGTGGATGATAGCAGAACTGTTCTTCCTCGATGGTGGAACATTCAGAATCTTCACAGGTTTTATGTTTGAGTCTTTGTCCGCTATTTGCCTATTATCTGTTTTATTTGCTTTATTTACCTAGTCAGTTTTATACTCTCATATGTAATGCTAACCCGGGCCCTCAGGAAATTATTCAATGAAAGACATTACATATTCTTTTCATTAACAGCAATGCATTCATGACTAGTCATCGAGATGGACTCCCTCTTTAGGGCCATCCTCGTTCAAGAGATGTGTACTCAACATCCGGACACAAAATCGAGGATTTTTCCTCACACACACTGCTAAACGCAGTGTCAGATCAAGGAATTCGTACCCAATTCCTATGATAGAGCCGTGTACTTTACATCCGGCCTAAAAAGCGCTTTATAAATCAATACTCGAGTAAAATAAACAATAATTCGTTCCACACTACTGTGCGAACTCGCAGAAAGTACATACATTTTTCTACACTATTACAAGGACTTCCCTGACAGGATTGTCGGAGGAGGGATGAATAATCCCCTTATACCCATGTAGGCTAAGGAGATTCACACATTGATTCAATTTATCCTTACGGTCCACGACCTCTATGTCCTGAGCGTGCACCCTCATCAACAGCTCTTCTCGAGAACTCTGAGTTCGAGGATCCACGGTTTCATCCGGACGCTCGAAAGCCTCAAGTCAATGTTGTTATCCAACAGTAGATTTTGCAGTTGGGCAATATAGTCTGTAAGAAGCTCGATCTCATGAGATCTCTCTTTTAGTATATCCATAGCTGCAATAAAACGGCAAGTTCTGACCATAATCATGTGCTGGACTTGGGCTAACACTTGATGCTTCTTGAGAAACCAGGGAGACACGGTAATCTGCTGTCTGGCCCTCAGCCGAGCATTTTCCTTCTCCAATGTGACCAGCTCATCGTGAATCTCGGCCTCGAAAGTCAAAGAATCACTGTGATCTTTCAAACTTTGAACTTCTCGACGCTGCATCTCCGCGCGGAGTCCTTTAATCTCGTTTATCAGATGCTGGTTAACCTTCACATTGTGCATCCTCATTGCATCGAGGAGGTCGTTCTCTAAATGTGCCACCGTCTCGAGGCTATGCACCTCAGCACGACTTCTCGAAATTCCGCTAATCATAGAATATAACGGGAACTCCCTTGATTGCTCCTCTGACAGCACCATGAGGTGAACACGGTGGACGGTCTAACTTTCCTGTTTCACCAGAGGAATGTAAGATGCTTACATCAAACCAAAGAGAAAGAAAACAGAAGACCAGGAAAAAGAAGTGGAAAGGATGCTTGTATAGAGTCGCGGGTAGAAGAAATGAAGAAATCAGTTCATTACAAAAAAAAAAATAAGAGCGATACTTCAAAGGGCCTAACAACTATTACAAAGGACAGGATTCATACAGCATCACTGCCTGGAGGGGGGTCCTTGGAAGGATCTTGGGAGGCGTCCTCGACAGATTTTTGGACACCTGAATAGCCGGTATCAGCAACGTCCTCCTCGGTGTCTTCGTCGGCGTCCTCAAGCTTGATACCCATGTACTCATCCGGTACATCAGGTATGAGGTCCTCCTTGCTTGGACCCTTGGCCAGGATAGCAAGAACGTTGCCTGGGAATGAAGCAATCTCCACCGGAGAACTCATCTTTGCCATGGCGCCAGTCAAAGCCTCCCATAGAGGTAGCTGCTTGAGGTTCAACTTTGTCAGGACCTTCACCATGGCCTCGTGCATGGTTTTCTTTGAGTCCTTCATCAGGAGCTGTTTGAACCATTTAGCTTTAATCGGCCTATCCTGGTCGAGCCTTTTCAACCCCGCCACGCCAACCCAGTGCGCTCCGCACTTGGAAGAAACCGAAGTTCATCTCCTCGAGTGTTGTAGCCATTCCTCCTGTCGAAAGCATCTTATACATGAAGGCAGTGCACCGCTGATGCAGTTCCTCTTTCGAGATGTGCAAGCTAGCGAAAGACTTCATCTTCTCATCCAGCTCTTCATATTTAGCCTGCACCATGGCAATCTCAGCCTCCTTAGCCTGAACTTGGCGAGCCTTCTCCTCAAGAGTCACCACCTCAAACAACGCCTCATCCCTTTCCGCTCGAGCTGTAGGCAGGTCTTCTCGAAGTTTCCTTAGCTGCAGTAGGTAGGCCATCGAGGCCGCACTTATCTGCACCATCATAACATATCAGGAACACATTGATATACATATGCATTTACAACCTAACCTGGAAAATGACTTAACAGTCTCAGACTGTCAGCTTCATTCGGCTGAGCGGCAAATTCCTCAAGGATAGGACACTCGATTGATGGTGGGTTGCTAAACGTATGTACTGCCACAGACGGGCCTCCCTCGAATAGCTGAGGGGGCAAGACTATTGCCTCTCCCTCGAGGGGGCCTTTCCCTTTCTCTGCCACGGGGGGAACAATGCTTGGCCCTGCTTATGGCATAGGTTTCTGAACAAACTCTGTGGCAAGGGGCACCGTCTCGATACCCGGCTGTGTGGTTTCCTTCGAGGGCACATCCGTTTTAGCTTTCTTGAATTTCGCGCTATCACCCACCTTCACGATCCTCTTCTGTTTTTTCTTCTGAGGCACAGCAGTGATAGTAACGTCCTCATCTGAATTCACAATGACAAAAGGATCTTCGTCACCAAACAATCGAGACCCAGCGTTGCTTGACAACATGACCTAACAACAAAGGGAAAAAAAATGATTAGTACCTTGATTTTCTTCAACAGAAGTTTCGAGAAGAATTCTGGTTGCACCCTCGACGTTAACCGTATCATCTTTGTTCGCATATACGGGAGGCACATAATATTGTTCGTCGTTCCACTTGACGACCTTGGAATATTTCAGAATCTTTTCCACATTTGCCTGGAGCTCCTCGATGCACTCCTCATCCTCTTGGGTCCATTCATCCTTTATGGCCCCGAGACCCTCTGTCTCTTCAAGATTTCACGGCAAGCAATAGCTTGAGGGTGCCTTTACAGACAAAAAGTCTGATTTCCATTCCGCGGAGCCATCATACGCCTCGACCATTTTCTTCACGCCGGTTCTAAGGCTCCTTTTCATGATATACCAGTCCTGGAAAGAGGTCGAGGCCACAACTACTTGGAAGAAATATCTCCACAATACTAACTGAGGTATCACCTTTACATGTTGGCACACTCTCGCAAACCCCAGTAGAAATGTAATTAAATTTGGGGTAAAACAAGCGAGAGGAGTCCTATAGTGTTGTAAAATCTCCTCAAACAGGGGGTAGAGGGGGAATCTAAGCCTGAGGTGCATAAATGGGTCATACACGGTAATTCTTCCCCCTGGAGGAGAGTTAGCTCTCTCGTTTCCTAATGGGGCTCTCGCCTCTAGGGCTGAGGGGAGGTCATACTTGGATCTAAGGTTCTCTACCTTATTAACCGAATCTATGGTGGATACAAAGTCCAAAACAGTTTTTCCTCCGGAGTCCCTAACCATAATTCCGGCAAGAATCTACTCTGGCTACAATAGGACAAGACAAAAACTTGGAACAAACCAAAGATTCAGATCTGGAAACTTACTATGGTAGGAGGATGTGACCACTCGCCTTTCGAATTATAACTTCCCAGCATTCTTCAGAAACTCCAACTGGCAACTCCCCTGGGAACAGCATTGCTGGGGCAGTGTCTCAGGCGAAAGCTTGAAAATTCCGGTTGGGAAAGGGGTTTAGAATGCTCCGGTAAAGAAGAATTCTTTGAGGACTGGAATGCTTTAACAGAGGAGAGAATTTCGAGTTATTTGCAAAGAAGGAAAATGATTAAGTGTAAAGGGATGGTAGAACTTTCTCCATAAAAACAAAATTTATTCTCCCACGTTTCTCTAATTATGGACTACAATATGACAGTTATTGCGGATTTCAAGTAATGATGTTGAGGCTGCCGTTTGGCGAACGTGCCCACTAATAACGCGCAGTTGAAAATTTGGGCGGGATTAGGAAGCGGGTCGTCTTCCCGGGTCAAGACTTGACCCACCAGTTACTATCGGTTTTCCGAGATCGAGGGTTAAGCGTTCGCATCGAGGTCGTTTGACATGAGGCTCGATAATTAGCCGAACGAGGGTAGTCTGTCCACTCTCGGGTATGTCCCAAGTAATACTTATTTTGTGCCAAGCGTTGTTTACCTTTACGTCACTAACACTTGGCAGGGGCACTTGACGAGTCCGTATCCATCACCGAGACTGGACTGGCCCACCAACTGTAGAAAGAGTCCAACCGGGACTCTTAGGGCGGTGGAGATTCCTAAACCTAGTTGGATTCAGGAATTGCCCAGGTAATCTCATACCTATAAATAGGATAACTCATACCACGGTACAGGTACGCAATCTATAGCTCAATAAACTACATACCTAAGCTTTCTAGCAACCCTTTTTACTGAGTTAAGCATCGGAATATCTATCCTCGGGAGACCCCGAGGCCCTGTTTTGCAGGAAACCCTAGCCAGAGTTCCACCATTAAACCGGCGGCGCATATCCAAGCATCGTCAGCGACCGATAAAAAAAACGGAGCTAGTAAAAACCCATTGACCAACAAAAAAATTGTTCAGCAAAGAGAAGTCATTTTTTTAAGAGAACCAGGACAGTACTTGGCAGGTATCCCCTCGATTTATTAATTTTAAAAAAATTAGTACACTGACAGTGCTTAAGGCATACATAAAAGAAAGAGACTGTCTTACAAGGGTTTTTTAAAAATCTGATGACAGCCCTATATGCAAAAGCTAAGATGATGCTGTACAAAGATTTTGCTATAATCCCTTGGCATTTCTATATATGTTTGTAAAATAAAATTAAACTAAGAGAGTGTCTCACAAAGGTTTGGAAAGATAAACCCCATGACACTTCTTTTTTTGAGAAAGAAAACAATACAAAACTATTCTAGTGCCCTCTTTATAAGCAGTTCTTGATCCAGAAAACAACACTAAACTGTTGTAGTGGAAAATAACATTTATCCAAAAACCATTTACCTCGCAGAGTAGCTCGGAGCTCATCTTGACAGAAAGAGAAGTCATTTATTCCTGGGAAAAGGGAGAAAAACTATCTGAATGAATTGGAACAAACATGTGGCTTCCTTGACTAGCAACTGAGCATTAACCGGGCATTTACCGTGCACATTTTGGGAACTCTCTATTTATATTAGTTAGATATCAATTCACTCTCTTTATAATTACTGCAATTGAAAGAAAACAATATAGTAATAATGCAAATTCAATAAATTTATTTAACAATGACAAAGGAGGACAATATCTGCATGGCAATGCGTTTGGTGGAGAAATTGAGACTTATTATTAATTGATCCATCTCACCACCACCTGTAGAGAATGGAGTTTAGCAGTAGCATCAAGAATTTTTATCTACATCTAGAAGATTTTGTTTGTTCCAATTCCTAAAACAAAATATGAAAAACAAAATGACAAAATCCTACCAACTTTTTGGGAGTACGGAAGTCCAGGAAGTTTCGATTTATCTTGACGGTTGAAAAGAAAATAATTGAAAGACCCCCAAAAAATGAAAGGTATCAAAGCAAAGCTTTGCTCTTTGTCTCTTCAAATTTGAGAGATCTCGTAAACATGACTTCAACTTCCCGACATCCATTTCTATCTCAATTGCATTGTAAATATTACGAGGAATATAAGTGGATTGTTGTTTTTACTCAATGACCATTACTTGTTTCTTGTTCATCGACATTGTTGTGTATCGCAGAACAACAATCAATGTGTGACCATATTTTGCATCAAAGAGAAAGTATCAAATTATGAATTTTAAATATTGACTGTATATTCGAGTGAATTATGTTTTTATCGAAGATTAGGTACAAAAATTTTTTAAAACAATACAAATATACGAACATTATTCCCGGTGTCACGAGAAAACCTTGGGATACATATCCGCCACGGAAAATTTGCTCAACAACTGTAATTATGTACTTCCTGGTGTTTTCTGGCATGCCTTTCCATGAATTGTTGGCGTAACCTGGATTCCTCACCCGGTTGTTACCATTTTCGCTGTCGCCGCAACCGTGTCTATAGCCACCAGAAGAGCTTGTTGTGGTCATGGTGGTGTTGCTACTTGTACTGCTATTTAATTGTACATTGCAAAGGAAAATGTTATTTGAGAAGTGATTGGATGAGATGAGTGTATTAATCGTGGTGGGAAGGAGAAATTATTGATCGCTGCAATATAAATGAATTCAAAGACAAAAAAAAATATACTATTTCCAATAATTTTTAGCAGTAGTTTTAAGATTTGTCCAAATATTAAGAAAACAATTTGAGACTTCAATTTTAAGTGTAATATCTTTCTTACCCCTAAATAAAATTATTACGGTTGTAGAAAAATTTGAAATTGGAGTCTTAAACTTAGCTAGTTGTTATTAATATATGTTACTAAAAGTAGAGAAAAATAAGGGTAAATTTGTAAAAAAAAAATATTAATTCAACATTGAAAAAAAAATCCGACAGATAAAAAAAGTTTTGGATTCACACTAATGCGACAAATTAAAAAAAAGATGCTGTATAAACCTGGTGACCAGCTACCTCGAAGAATTGTTCAAGAAAGAGAAGTCATTTATTTGGGGGAAAAGGGAGAAAAACTATGTAAATGAATCCGAATCAAACATGTGGCTTCACTGACCGGCAATCGGGCATTTAGCATGCAATTTTTGGAATTTCTCCATTTATATTTGTTAGATCTCGATTTACTATCTTTGTAATCACTACAATCGAAAGAAAAAAATTTGGTACTAATGCAAATTCATTGATACTAATCTCATTAGCCTTATGATGTGTGGTTCGCTTTGTTGATTGAGCCCTGAGGACCAATGAAATTAGGTGCTCGAGTCTCATACTTCTCCAAGATCTAACTCACACTCGGGGAGCCAAAAGAGTAAACTTCACTCCCCAGAGAAAATACCACAATAGCAAGCTCTGACCGTTTTAGGGTACAGAGTTCGCTGGTGTTTTTTTTATAAAAACCTACCCAATGTTTAGAGAACGTGACCTGCAGGTTGTTTTTGTTGGTCATTTTCACCATATCTGCCCTCTGGCAACCCAACTCATTTTCTCAAATACTATTATTTGCTAACAAAAATATGTTTTATGAAACTATAGAGGAGGTTGATGATATGCTTGACATACAAAGAAGAGAAGATCGGGGTTTTATAGATGTATAAAGTTTGAGTTACGAGACAGCTATAAAGTCAAATTTTTAATCATAGAAATCAAGAGTATCAAGTTTATTTTTAAAATCATTCTATTTCATTACTATATTTTAGGGGGTAAAGATCTATATACAAGGTATATTACACTAGTTAGATAATGTATGGACTTACTTACCCAGTTTTGATTGATATTCCAACATTTATTTATCAAAAGATAACATTTAGGAAGCAAGAACTTTTTGGAATGAAATGATTTAGAAAATTATATGAAATGATTTAACCATGGCATGGAATAGAACTTTTTTTTTTTTTTTGAGTAAGTAATTCTTGTAATCATTTTATTTTATGAAAGTACTATCTCACTTACATAAATCTTACCTTAGTAATTTTTTCTTTGATGGGTTATCGTTTTCCTAACTCTTAAGAGTTTAGTTGAATTAATTTGATTTAGGATTAGAGGTTGACGGATTGGTCATCTATATAAAAACTTATGCAACATTAG